CCCTCTCCTCCTGTCCCTGTTCCCTGGGAGCAGAGCCTGAACCCCCCCAGCTCCCCCCTCCTGTCAGTGAGTTGCAGAGCCAGAAGGTCCCCCCTGAGCCTCCTTTTCTGCAGACATTCCTGCCCCATCCTGCTGCTGCTGCTGCTGCCAACAACCTCCCTGGGCAAATCCTCACACGGATCACACACGGTCAGACCTCTCTGCCAGGAGCTCTCAGTGCACACTTGCATTGAGGGAATGAAGATCTTCACATCAGAGCAGCAGGGACAGCACTGATGTCACTGTCCCTGCTGCTGTGCCCTCCCCAATCCTTCCCACAGACAGTCCCAGTTACCTGTTTGGTTTCCCTGTTCCAGTGGGTCCAAAACTTTCCTTCTGCTTTGTCGATTTCCCTGCTTGGCACCTGCAGCAAAAGAGAACACAGAGCTATTCTTAGCAGCCCCAGATTAGCTCAAAGGCCCTTTTTAGCCCCAGAGCCTGGGAGATAAGCAGTTATTCCAGGCCTTGGTGAGCTGCTCTGTTGTTAGATAGAGGTGGGGGCAGGAAAGAATTAAAGTTACTTCCCTATCGGTCAAGGACAACCGAAAACAAAAAACCCTCCCTTAACATCTGCACAGGGGCTGAGGAGGCTCCTGCCTGTGCCAGACACTGGGAATTCACAGCTCCCCAGAGCTCAGCAGTCTGGTTTTCAGGCCAGAGTCCTCCAGGAACTCTCACTGGGGCTTAATGACTTCCAGCCATTCCTGACCACCTTCCCACTCCGATAACCCACGGAGGCTGGAACGGAAATCGGGGCGTTCACTGGGAACGAGCCACAGAATCACAGGATCAGCCAGGTTGGAAAACACCTCTGAGATCCTGGAATCCAACCCCTGACCCAACACCACCTTGTCACCCAGACCATGGCACTGATGCCACGTCCAGCCTGTCCTCAAACACCTCCAGGGGTGGTGAATCCACCCCCTCCCTGGACAGCCCATTCCAGTGTCTGATCACTCTCTCTGGGAAGAATTTCTTCCTGATGTCCAGCCTAAACCTCCCCTGGCACAGCTTAAGGCTGTGCCCTCTTGTCCTACTGCTGGTTCCCTGGGAGCAGAGCCCAACCCCCCCCAGCTCTCCCCTCCTGTCAGGGTGTTGTAGGGAGTGAGAAGGTTCCCCCTGAGCCTCCTCTTCTCCAGGCTGAGCCCCCCCAGCTCCCTCAGCTGCTCCTGCTGCTCCAGCCCCTTCCCCAGCCTCGCTGTCCTTCTCTGGAACTGCTCCAGCCCCTCCATGTCCTTCCCAAACTGAGGGGCCCAGAGCTGGGCACAGCACCCGTGCCAAGCACAGGGGCAGAATCGCTTCCCTGCTCCTGCTGCCACTGTTCCTGAGCCAGGCCAGGATCCACTGGCCTTCCTACCCACCTGGCTCGTGTCCAGCTGCTGTCACCAGGTGGACGTGTCAACCAGCACCCCCAGGTCCCTTTCTCTCCATCCACTCTGTCCCCAGTCCGTGGGGCTGCAGGGAGTTGTTGTGGCCAGAGGGCAGGACCCGGCACGTGGCCTGGTTGAACCTCATCCCACTGGAATCAGCCCAGCTCTCCAGCCTGTCCAGCTCCCTCTGCAGAGCCCTCCTGCCTTCCAGCACATCAACACTCCCCCCAGCTTGGTGTCATCTGCAAACTGGTTTGGAAATGTCTCGGAAGAGAGGGAAGCGTGCCGGGGTTACCTTGAAGGCGATGGTCTCGTAGGGCTCGGCTGCCATGAGCAGGTACTGCCAGCGCCGGTCGGGGGGCTCGATGCGCTGCTCGTAGGCCGACATGAAGCGGTGCCGGGGCATGATGCTCTCTGCAATCTCGGGATAATCGATCTGGGGGGGACAGGGCACCGTGAGGAACATCCCCCCGGCACCCCCCAAGCACCAAACACGGCCCTCGGGGTGGGGCACGTGGAGAGCAGTTCCCAACAAACACCACAGCAAACGGGTCGGGAGCACGGAAGGGTTCAGGTCAGGAAGGACCGGAAAGAACTCAAATGGAAAGAGGGGAAATTGTTCCCTGGGAGCCCCTGGCACAGGGTGCCCAGAGCAGCTGTGGCTGCCCCATCCATGGAAGTGTCCAAGGCCAGGCTGGACCAGGAGTAACCCGGGCTAGTGGAAGGTGTCCCTGCCCATGGCAGGGGTTGAAAGTGGATGATCTTTAAAGCCCCTTCCAAACCCAAACCATTCCATGACCGTGTGATCATCTCGTTCCAACTCCTGCCCCTTCCACTACACAGCCTGACAGCTGTGCTCAGGGATCTGCTCAGCACAGTCACCTGTAAAAACCAGGAATGTAGGGCCTTTTTTTTATTATTATTTATTTCATGGGTCCAGCAAGGACCTGCTCACTTAGCAGCAGTTTCACTTGGATAACCCTGACAGCGAGAATTTTCACCCTGCCCTTACCTGGAAGAGAAGGCTCTGCTGGCCTGTTTCAGGGTCCCTCTGTTTGGTCACTGTAAGGAAAACAGAGAAGATGAGAACATCCCCCAGCATTATTCTGCCCCAGGAAACACTTAAAGCTTCCAACAACTAAATATTACAAGATTTTTCTCCCATTTATCAAACAAAATTTGTCTTTAACCAAAGCTATGGCTGTGAGGGTGGGCAGGCCCTGGCACAGGTTGCCCAGAGAAGCTGTGGTTGCCCCTGGATCCCTGGAAGTGTCCAAGGCCAGGTTGGACGGGGCTTGGAGCACCCTGGGCTGGTGGAAGGTGTCCCTGCCCATGGCAGGGGGTGGGACTGGATGGGCTTTAAGGTCCCTTCCAATCCAAACTGCTCTGGGATTCTGTGATACTGCTGTGTCCAGTCCTGGGCCCCTCATGACAAGGACACTGAGGGGCTGGAGGTGTCCAGGGAAGGGAAGGGAGATGGGAAGGGGCTGGGGCAGCAGGAGCAGCTGAGGGAGCTGGGGGGGGCTCAGCCTGGAGAAAAGGAGGTTCAGGGGGGACCTTCTGGCTCTGCAACTCCCTGACAGGAGGGTTTGGGCTCTGCTCCCAGAGAACAAGGGACAGGAGGAGAGGGAACGGCCTCAGGCTGTGCCAGGAGAGGTTTAGGTGGGATACAGGCAACTCAAACCATGAAGGACACCAGGAGAGAGCCCAGCTCTCATTCATGGGCAGAGCTGCTAAAAGGGCTAATTAATAATTCACATCCCAGCACTGCAGGCACTGCCCACGGGCACCCACCGGGCACCCCCCACCCACCTTTGTAACCTGGGCGCCCAATTTTCACAAACTTCTTCACTTCCACTTTGACCTTCTCTGGGGCAGGTTGGGCAGGGGCTTCCTTGGCTTCCTTGGCAGCTCTCCGGGCCCTGGGGAGGAATTTCAAAGTGTAAGGGCTACCACCTGCACTTGTTTCCAAAGGAATCACGCCTGGAAAACCTGCTTCCCTTCCCCAGGGTATCCATCCTTCCCTTCCCCAGGGTATCCATCCTTCCCTAGGATATCCATCCTTCCCTTCCCCAGGGTATCCATCCTTCCCTTCCCCAGGGTATCCATCCTTCCCTTCCCCAGGGTATCCATCCTTCCCCTCACTAAAGGCTGTCACTCAGTTAAGCCACCCTTGAGACGATCTTGGTGCCTGACTCCACAAGTGCATGTGAAAAGACTTAATTCTTGACATTAAAAAGGAAAAAAAAAACCCACAGCTAAAGCAAAGTAAAGTGGATTCCTTAAAATAAAACTTGTAAACTTCTCCCAAAATCTCCCAAATCCAGATCACAGAATCCTGGAATATCCTGAGTGGGAAGGGACTCACAAGGATCATCCAGTCCAACTCCTGGCCCTGCACAGGCACCCCAACAATCCTACCCTGTCCCTCAGAGCGTTGTCCACAATCATCATTTTAATGGAGCTAAAGGTTTATAGATGAACACAATCACCATTTTTAAGTGCTTCAGTAATGAATAAAGTTGTGGTAGAGAATGACTTACAAGTTGGTCTGATGCTTCTTCCCCTGGGTATGTGCTAAGTAACTCCCCTGAAACAAAAACCAAGGTAGAAGAAAGTTAAATGAAGGCAGGACTGAAAGATTCTCATCACAGAGGGGCTGTGTCTCACACTGACACTCACACTGGGGGTGTTCTCACCCTCAGCAGAGAGGAATCTCACTGCAGAACTGCACATTGCTCCCAGCTGCTGAGCTGTCACACACTGTCAGCTTTAACACACAAGGCCCTGCCCACCCCTCATCTCTCAGCGCTCACAGCCCAGGTTCTGGCACCTGATGCCACTGTTATCCCAAAATTCCTGCTGCTGGGATCAGCCCAGGCAGGTGCTCCCCTCACCTCGTTGTTGTGCAGTGTCAGGCAGAGCTTGCACTCGTAGGAGCCCAGGTGATTTTTCATAAAATAGGGGTCCTGGGAAGAGAATGACGGACAAGTTACAAGGAAAATCCACGGCAAAGCAACAGGATAACCAAAATACTGCAGAGCTCTCCTGCACAGGAAGAACGACCCCCTCAAACACTGCCCAGGCTCCCCAGGGCAGTGGGCACGGCCCTAAGGCTGCCAGAGCTCCAGGAGCGTTTGGACAACGCTCTGAGGGACAGGGGGGGATTGCTGGGGTGTCCTGGGCAGGGACAGAGACTGGACTGGATGGTCCTTGTGGATCCCTTCCAGCTGTGGGTATTTTATGGTTCTATGATTCTACAGCTGAGTTCAGAATTTAAATCAACAGCACAACAGAGCTTTAGGGTGATGGAAACAGAGAGACTCAACAGCAGCTCTGAGCATCGGTGACAGAGTTCCCAACTGCACTGAGAAATGGCAAAGTACAAACCAGTCCTGAGGAGACTGGGAATAACTTCAATACAAAGTGCTGGCACCTCCCTGTCAGCCCCATCCTGAATGTTCCTCATTCAAACCCAACATTCCCAGAGACACAAGTATTTAAACCCGATCCACCACTCAGCCTGGAGAAGAGAAGGCTCTGGGGAGACCTGGGAGCCCCTTCCAGGGCCTAAAGGGGATCCAGGAGAGCTGGAGAGGGACTGGGGATAAGGGATGGAGGGACAGGACAAGTGAAATGGCTTCCCAGTGCCAGAGGGCAGGGATAGATGGGATACTGGGAGGGAATCCTTCCCTGTGAGGGTGGGCAGGCCCTGGCACAGGTTGCCCAGAGCAGCTGTGGCTGCCCCTGGATCCCTGGGAGTGTCCAAGGCCAGGCTGGACAGGGCTCAGAGCAGTCTGCTGTGGTGGAAGGGGTGTCCCCACCTTGTTGATGTCGATGGTCTCCAGGGCCAGCTGCCGCAGCCGCTCCCGCCGGTCCCGGTTGCTCTCCGAGGCCGAGGCAACGCCTCCGCTGCCCGTCTTCCCTCCAGGGCGGTGCTGGAAATCCATGGTGGGGAATTCTG